CGAAATTCCTGATCCTTTCAAGGATGTATGTTTCCGCAGTTGTGTCACTTTGATCAATGAAAAGTGCGCCCAAATAAAGCTAGAAGGTAGTGGCAGCTTCACGCCGCTTCGGACTCCACCTACACCTACACGCAAACCAGGAGAGCTACGTACCGCACAAACTAGCACGCGCTTAACTCTAGGCAAGCAGGTTCCTTGTCTGCGTCCTCTCACGTTTGATTATTCTCTAAATTTGGTCTTTGTGTACTTTTGGCAGCTTGCCGACATGTTCGCTGCGAAACCTTGGTATCGATGCAGGCGCAGCAGTTGCGGATTGCGGGTGGAGTCCAAAGCGGCCCCTACAATCTCACTTTCGCACATTTTCGAGTGCGCAGTTTGGTTTGGGGGGACGCCAAATGGTACTCCGTCAGACCTGTACAAGCCGCATCCTGAAACCATTCCTGTAACTAAAGTAGGCAGACTTGTACATTTCTCACATTCCCAAAAGTTGAATGTGTTCACCTATAAGTTGACCTGTACTAGCAAGAGGAATTAGCGAAAGTACGAAACTCCCTGCTCCAAGCGAACAGCCCCCTCCTTGATTTATGGAAATGGCATTCTTCTACAGCTGTGGGCCTGTCCCCTTGCACATGGCAGGGATCTGTTTATCTGGGCAAGCGTATCTTCAAGAGTGCCCTGTTTGCGACTGGGTCCACGCACCGAAACAGATTGTAGGGCTGCTGAGTTGCAGTGAGGCCAAGACACTAAACAAACAACAAACAAACAAGTAAAAACAAATATCCGCCGAAATATCACCTGGTTATGAGAGGCATTTCACTTACTTTTTCTACAATCGGTATCGGATAGCGCGAATTGGGAAGAACGTTGACGATCAGCACACCTGAGATTATCCTCTTTGCGTTGTTGCTCACCTTTTTCACTCTGCTCCAATGATTTTGAAGTTAACGCTATCATCATCAGGATGGTCAGGCCTCTACGGACACCGCCCACCTAAAGAGTCCTAACCATCTCATCAAACGATAGGCGCAATGGTTGAAGGAGGAGCTTTTGTTCGCGTTTGGGGGTCTCTTGTGGAGATTTGGGCTTATCTTGGAGAACAAATCTATCGCTCACCCTGCCGAAAACGATTATTTGAAGAAGTGAGGGTTCTGCAAGTGAGTGATCAGCAGCTGGCATTAGGCCTGCGTTTATATTTGAGGGGCAGCGTAGCGTAGGCGCTTCAGCATACGCCAGCGGCAGTGCCGAAGAGAGGGGGGGGGCGGGAAGAGATGCATATCGATCTAGCTTCACCAGCGTCACCAGCGGCACGCTAGCGCACGCTGGCGTAGCGAGGGCACGGGAAGCATAGCTATCGATCTAGCTTCACCAGCGTTTCTCCAGCGTTTTCCCAGCGCTTGCAGCGACGGGGCTAGAGAGGCTGGAGAAGCGCTGGGAAAACGCTGGAGAAACGCTGGTGAAGCTAGATCGATAGCTATGCTTCCCGTGCCCTCGCTACGCCAGCGTGCGCTAGCGTGCCGCTGGTGACGCTGGTGAAGCTAGATCGATATGCATCCTCTCTTCGGCACTGCCGCTGGCGTACGCTGGAAGCGCTACGCTACGCTGCCGCAAAGTATAAACGCAGCCTTAGAGAGCCACTTTCGCTCGCTTAAAAGTGAGGGCGAAACACGGCTTGTCGTTTCGAGCACCGCTGGCGCGGCGTTAAGCTGCGCCAGCTTTAAAAGGCCGCGGCCGCCGCGCCCGCCCCCAGCGAAGCCTGTATAAAGGCTGCCATGAGTCGGTCGGTGTGCACGTCTCTCCCGCCGAGAGGAGAGAGCCACCGGGCACTCGCTCTGCCGCCAATGATTGCCGGAACTGTTGTTGGTGGCTTGTACTCCTGCACAGCCGGTGTAGTCGGGCACACCGCCCCGTCTGGCGGAGCTCTGCTTGGCGCGCGTGCTGTGTAGACGGCGCGAAGGCCGTGCCAGCCTGTGGGCTGGTACAGCTTGTAGTTCACAGGGCGCCAATTACCGCTAGAACTGGCCAGTGGAAGATGGATGGCAATTCAGCTACCGGCAGGATATAAGGATAGATGAAAGATGGTCAACCGCGACACGGCTGAGTGCAATAAATGTGAAGCTTATGTTTGTTGTAATGTTTACAATAGGTGGGACTTGGGAAGCGACCGGGCAGGTGGGCTTGTAAGGTGCTGGTAAGGCTTGGGAGGTTTGGTTGGTTATAAGTATGGGTTGTTGGTTGTAACAGTCGGGAATGCCCTCAGAACGAAAGAAGGCGGAATCGGCGGACGTTCACTGGCACCGGCGACGCGGCTCGCGATTGGCCGTCTGCAGGGCACTTGTCAATTGGAGCCTCTTCTCTTTCATTTTTCTTCCTGTCCTTCCTTCTTTTCCTTCCTCCATCTCTTGAATCCCTCTCCCTTTACGCTTCTCCCTCCACTAGTGGACGTAGATGCTCCGTGAACAATACCCCCTAGACCCTCGCGGCGAGAGGCACGTCCCTGGCTGGAACAACAGCTCCGCACCCTTGGAATTTGGGGTGGATTTGAGAAGGCGCTGCGGCTGATGGGCAAGCAATCACTGTGTTCCTGTTCCCCTGCGCATTACAATGAGTACGCCGATCGCGTATTGTGAGAGTGTGGGGGGACTGAACGGCATGAGTGTCTGTCACGACAGGCCTGTAATCGCGTCGCCGTGGTCACTAGAGCGGCATCAATCGCCGAACGTCTGCGCTGCATTCGTGTCTGTAGGAATGGAGCGCTGTTCTAATCGTAGCGCGTTACAGTGCGTCACAGCGCGTTCAGGCGCGTCAACGCGAGGTCTGAACGCAGCCTATCTGTACCTGCTAGTTGATTCACACCAAAAAAGTGTTGTCTCAAAAAAATTAAAACTCAGACTGAACTTCACCTTGATCACCAACTAATTTCGCCATGTTCTTTATAGGTTCTTCTTTAAGGAATACGGAACTTGGACAGTGAATTTCTTCGTGAGTTTCAAGGAAACAAGCATCCAACATGATAACATCGAACTGGCGTCCTGAAGTTGTCATAGTACAGTTCGATAGTTTACACTGAAGTGTATTTCTGCTGAACCGCATGAAAGTCCAAATTCAAGATAGGGGAAGACTTTTTAAACGAAAAAATCACGCCGCGAATCAGATTCGAGCCCGCTGAATGCTTAGCTCTGTCATACTAGATCCGCTTACAGTGGAAACTACACCTGTAAACTATCTATTGTATTCAAAAGCTGACTTTCTCTCATCACAGGTTACCATTTTTGGCGCAGGACACTCCTTGGCAGACTCCAGCCCTAGCAAAGAGATGCCACTGTTTGACTCAAGGGGGAAGGAGGCCTTTCAGCACTTTCACTAGATCCTTCCCATTCATGTAACCATGATAGTTTGCTTACAAATCTCAAAGGAAATAAGATCTGAAGGGAAGAAACCTGTTCGAACACTTTGCTCCAAGTACTTTACTCCATCACCGATGATGACATGAAAGAGTTTGTCCGTTTTCAATGAAAACCATTTCTTCGCCATGTCGAATGTTGGCTGATGGATTTCGACTGCTGTTATGCTCATCTAAATTCGAATTTAAAGGCATCTGGCACGATGAATTCCCAAGACGTGTAGGACTAATACACCTAGCAGGACAGGTTTCAGCCCTCCTGGGCGAACGCTGGGTGGCGCCTTTTCCAAGGAAGGTACCCGTATAGCGCCCTATAAAGCTGCAACATATGACCTGGACGCCCACCGTGCCCGTCTGCCCGCAAAAGTTCGACCGATGATGATGCTCGAATCGTTTCATTCGCGAAGTATAATATGGAGCGAAGGGATTGATATGATGGGTGTGTGGTGCTGCGT